GAGGAATTAGACATTCAACTCCTTCTGAGTGATGTCAATGATGACATGACACCATACCCATTATGGTCTCCATCAATATATTCTTAGCACATAATGGCCAAATTTTAAATACAAACTTTTCATAATTGGTTACTTTTTCAATAAGAAGGGATTAATAAAAATATTGAAATCAATGAAGGTTAAAGAACACACTATCTTAATTTACAACATTAGTAAAGGCTACCATTAGATAGCTACTATCAATTATTTCCCATGGAGTTGAGCATAAATCCAAAATTTCTTGAGTAAAGGCTCAATTATTTCTTGAGATGGAAATAAAAATTTTTCCAAGCATTACATAGATTTTACTTAGCTTGAAAAAAAAATAACATAGTTAATTTAATACAGTGATCTACCTTGTCGACTCAACTTACAAGTCGAACTAGGCTAACTACCAAGGACTAAGATCTCTGAGGGTAAATCAATATGACCAATATCTTGGGATTGGATTTTATCTCTGATAGTTTAGTTGGTTGATTTTAAAATCAAGGTGTTTACGTGGTTCTATTGAAGTCGGGTCTAGGGTTGCCATTTTCTCTCTCTTAAAAGCTCAAGATTTATGTTTTCTCCACATAATCCATCTATCACTCTGTAATAAATTGGATATAAAGAAAAATAGTCGATGCTAGTTGGATCTTAAAATGACTACTACAGTTTTTCGCAGTTATTTCTAACTTACAATCCAACCACCATAGTATATTTCCAAAGTCAAGTCATTTTTCTACTTCTCTATTTTGAACCCTAACTATTAATCAATTGTTACTCAATCAATAGGTGTTAAGATACAAAAAAAAAAAAAAATTGGTAATAATGAAAAAAAAATCAAACTTACATTAAAAATTAAAATTAAAATAAATCAACATGGTTACATCTAGTCTTTAGAAAAGGGATTTAGTACGTGATTAAATAAGAAAAAAATATGACTTCAAGAACATTTTGATGATTATAACAAAAATTAGAAGAGACAATAGGTAGAACTAAGGAAGATGCTCTCGGCGCGCTTTTGCAATTTTTGCAATTTTATCTAAAGGTAAGTTATTGTAGAATAAATCTCAAGTCATGCAAATTGTTCACTGGTTTTTGTTGTTTGCTTTTGTTATTGAAACTTTCTATCATAAAAATTTTGATTAAATGTGCTTGCAATGTTTTAGGGAGGATAAAGCTATAAACAAACTTCATGATGGACTCTATGATGCTCATCAATTGGGCCAGAAGATTGCAGTCAAAATTAAAAAAAAAAAAAAGGCCGGGCATCAAAGTTAATGAAGGACTCTTTGATGCTCACTAGTTGGGCTCTAAGATTGTAGTAAATTTAAAGAAAAAACAAGCTACTATTGAACGTTGATTGTGAATGATTGTATTGATTATGCTAATAGTGTCATAAATGCAAAGTTTGTAATGATATAATCCATCTGTTTACAAATCCATTACATCCTAATATTGTTGCTAGCTATTTGAATGTGGGGGTATGAACATAATCCGATCTTCAATCTACCATCATCTCGGAGACACTAATTCATTCTAACAATGATTGATTATTTTCCAGATGGGCTAAGGCTGCTTCTTTTAGGGAAGATGTCATTGAAGATATGAATTATTTTCTTACTCATAATATTTTCAACTTACTCATATGGTGTATATAACATTTGAGAGCACTAAAATATATAGATTTATCAATCAATAGAAATTTAATTAATGAAACTTCTTATTCTACAATCCAAAGGTAAAATATTTAGTGGAGGCATTCAACAAGTTGCTAGTCACACTGCTTGGGAAAATCCTAGAGAACTGTATATCAAGATCATAAAAGGTTTTATTGGCCTTTGCACTACCTATAAGATACTGGCCAAATCTTTCTCGTATGTTCTACTATTTGAGTTGAAGTAGTCATACCTTTTAAGGTTGAATTATCACGCCTTAGAAGGTTGTTCAACACAATCTTATGGACAAGCGAAATGTCCATTTATGAATGGATGTGCTTAATGAAACTAGCTCATGCTGTACAATATTGAAGAAATACATCAAGTTGACGTGGCTAGTTACTTTAACTGCATGGTCGCCATGACATTTCATGAAAGTGTATTGTCTTGGTTATTTGTAAGCCAATCATTCACCTGTCACTTTGACGATAGGTTTATTGGGAATGTCCTTTTGGCATTAAGAAAGCGTATTAAGGCCTTGTGGCTTGATGAAATACCACACCTATTTTTTTTTCTAAAGGCGACAACAAAAATGAAGATTCACATACATAACACTCAATTCCTCTGTATTTACATATCTGACACCTAAACTTAAATTTTACATACATGTCATCTTACCAATGCATGAAAAAGTATATTTTACTTTTTAAAAGTTAAAATAGTGGCATTTTTTATGTGACATGATAGATTTGAGTAGTATAAATGTCAAAATTAAAGTGTTGGTGTTAGATGTGTAAATACATAGGTTTTGGGTGGTTTGTATGTTACTTTTTCAACGCAATCTTACTTGTGTAAAATGTCTGCCTACGATTGAAAGAACTTAATAAAATCTGGCTCAAGCTTGCTAATATTTAGAATATTATTGAGCTAAGATTGCTAGTTCCTTCAACTGCATAATATAGCCTAACATCATTTGAAAGAGAATTTTTTTTTTTTTTTTTTTTGTTTCTATGCAAGCCAACCATTCACCTCACCTTATTGACAATAAGTTTAGCTTAATTGGGAATGTGTTTTTGTCCCTGAAAAAGGCATCTATCAGCCCATCGATTTATATGACCTATGACTAATGCCTTCAATTAAAAGCCATTTCGTGAAGAAATACTATGCCTAGTTCAAAAATAATTCTAAAAGCTCTAAAAGTCCCCCCACAATGTAGGGGACATTTATATGCTTGCATCTATATGTATATATGCATATGTATTTGCACGTGTGCCAATATCCCCAGTGTTTTACTTTCAAACCGCCAACATATGTATGTATTCATGTTAACATTTTGTTACGTGTTTGAGATCCCCAACAATTAAATAGATATTTGGGTGGACATCTTGCTTTGTGTCGGAATCTTCAATAAATAGATATTTTTTGGGTTTGATATTGTGCTTCACATTAAGATCGTTAACTCATGTATACTAATTTGGGTCGACCAACATGTTTCTTGCTGAGATCCTCAATGAACATACATTTGCCTATGCTAAATTTGTATTCAATAGGAAGTCCCCTATCAAGTTGGCACACTATGCTCTATGCCAAAATCCTCATAAGAATGGTATTTGCACATGAAATTTTTTGATTAATGTAAGTACAGTATTAATTGCATGATAATTATTGCTAAATCCATATTAAAAAGGTAAGAAATATTAGAAAAAAATGAGAGCATTTCTTATATGATGCCTTTATAAGAGGCCTTTATAACTCTTCCTCAAGGGAGGGAATTTTTTTAGGTTTAATATTTGTGTTTTGACTTTGTTCTATATTAATACACTCATCTGGATCGACATTATGCTTCAAACTTAGCTATGTAGCTAAACTATATTTAATAGGGTTGACACCAAATTTGATGTTGGTACCTTGAGTAAAACTCATATGGAAATTAAAATGCTTAATATTGCATCTATGGACACAGTCATACCACAAGATGGTACAACCTCGTATGATTAAGGGACATTAATCTTCAATCAAGAACATAAAGAAGCCTCTTAAATGCCAAAGGTCATTTTCTTAATAGTTCATTTTGCATACTCTTTAAATGTTGTGCCTGTCACAAACATTTCAAATTATGGCTAAGATCAGTCTGCCTTCATAGGTTAGTCAGATTTAGACAAAAATTTAGAGAATTTGTTTTCATGTCAAACCACAACTATTGAAAAATATGAAATGTAGATTAGTTCAACCTTCCATTATTAGTCAGATCTTGGGCAGGCCATCCAACAAGCCTGATGTTTGTTGCCTCACTTTACCCCTTTTAATAGGTTGGCTTATCCAAGATCTACTGAAAAGTACAATTACATATCTGCCTAAAATAATTTTTTTCATCTGGACTAGCTTTCTCCTACATAAGAAAATTGCATCTTATGACCTTGACACCCCTCCATCCATTGTCTCTTGGTCTGATCACAACGTTCATGTTAAGCAAATGTCAACATTGGTAAAGTTGAAAGCAAAGGTCAACTACATTGAACATTCCGAATTGTAAAGCTATATCCATAGCGACATGTTAGAACATACCTATGAAACGTGAAAAATTGAGAAGAAATAGTTCTGAGCCCACTTCAAACAAATTAAAAAAAAATGGAGTATAAGATATTCTTTTTTAATATCAGCTCAAATTAATGGTATTGACACTATAAAATTAAATGTCGTCATGAAAGTTTTCACTACCTTTTTTCATTGAAGGAAATGGTAAAATTAATGGTAGGATCAAATTGTTTCAAATGTAGCAAGTTGAGGGATTAAATTGAGCATCTGCAGAAGTCTTAAACTAAATTGTACACACCTAAAATTCTAGGGACTAATTTGGGCTTTTATTTAATTTAATATGTGAGTGGTGGTTGATAAGCATGATTCCCTCAATAACTCGTGGTCTTCATTATGCACTAGGTAACTTATTTTATTAATTTTTTTATTTTGTTATTTTGGCGCCTGTTGGGTCTCTTTGTTGTATATGTTATTAATTGGGTTGAATATTTAAAACTTTCAGTACACGCTGTCTTACAGTTACTGAATTTGCAGCTGTTCCATCAAAAGTGGTTTGGCCATGAGTCATCTTAGGGATTGGAAGGAATTGTTTGTATTTCTAGAAATATACGGATGAGCCTCACCTTTCGTTGAACTTTGTACTTCCATCTTTCTCTACTATTTTGATGATTTGCACTGTTAATTATTATTTCAACTCTAAAAATTTACTCTACAATCTGGCATGTAAAAACATGGATGTAGTTTTTTTCATGTATTTTTTTTATCCTGATATTTTTATTTGTACAGCTGCTATACAATGTTTGAAGCGAAAGAAACTTTATGAACAGCAAGTTGAGCAGCTTGGAAATTTCCAATTACGGATTCATGATCAGGTGTCCTTTTAATATTATTTGCTTGTCGATCCTCAACTGTCTTTAATTATTCTTCTGAAGTGATTATCTAATTGTTCTCAAATGTGGTATTACCATAGATGATTATGCTTGAAGGTGCAAAAGCTACGACAGAGACTGTTGATGCATTGAGAACTGGAGCAGCAGCAATGAAGGCCATGCAAAAAGCAACGTGAGTTCCTGAATTCAATTCTAATCATTCCATCTTTTGCTCTTTTGATGTGTTTTCTGCATTTTTGTGTGAACAACTATTTAGAAGGGTTATGTGGCTTTTATCTTCCATTGCTTGGAGAGTTCATCCTAAAGGAGTTGAAATAATTACCGGTGTAGAGGGCTTTATTGATACTTTTTATTGCCTTTAAAGAACTCTATATATTTGTTACATTTAGTTTAGTTCTTTGCATAGATATTTATTCATTCATTTGGGATGTATGGTTAAGCTTGAATTCACATAGGCTTGCAAGAGATTCAGCCATTTTATATCCGGGAAAACTAGTCCTTGGCAAAATTGTATTGCACGCTTCATCCCTACCATCTTGTCTCTTCCAAGTTTTCTTATTTGAAATGTTTTTTTTTTTTTACTTTTCATATGCTAAATATGGTTTTTTAAGCTTTCGAACTAATAGATTTCTTTGGTAATGATGTTATTTTTGTACAGTAACATTGATGATGTTGACAAAACAATGGATCAAATCAACGAGCAGACAGAGAACATGAAGCAAATTCAGGAAGCTCTAGCTGCCCCAGTTGGAGCAGCTGCTGATTTTGATGAAGTACTCTTTCTCACATTTTTGCATCTTTTCTTTGATTTTCTCACTATTTTCTTGGGTCACATGTTCCTACTTTATTATTATTTTTTTTTCTACGAAGGATGAATTGGAGGCAGAACTTGAGGAGTTGGAAGGAGCTGAACTTGAGGAAATGCTCCTTGAGCCTGCTACAAGTGCTCCGTCTGCTCCTGTAGACCCTGTTCGTGTTGGTAGGCAACAGATTCGTCCTACAGCTCAGAAGAATAGCGCTGATGATGACGAACTTGCTGCACTGCAAGCTGAGATGGCTATGTAACCGGGTTATATATCTTTTCCTTTTTATCCCATAATTTTTCTTTTATTGTTCAACTCTTCTATAAAAATAATCAAAAGGTTTTGTAAATCCTATGCTCTGTGCCTGCTCTTGATATTGAATCACTAGATTTTTGGTTAGTGCTTGATTCATGGATGCCAGAAATTGTAAATTGCATCATGCTAGAAGAGTTTGGCATGTTTTCGGCTCTTTCAAGCTTGGTTGTGAACCCAAGTCATAAACTCCATCTAAAAATCCTTTCATAGAGGGGAAAAAAAATGAAGCTGTTTAGCTGTGGTGTCATTAATTTAATCTTTTTTACCTAGGATGTCTTGCTTAACTGTACTAAGGTGAAAAATATGCTGATATTACTAATGTTTTTAATTTTTTAATTTTTACTTTCATTGCTTATTTTAAATCTTTGAAGCAGATTTTCGTTCGTACATGACCCGCCATAGCGCTTAAAAATGTGCTCTTGCTGATTCTATTCCTTGGAAAAAGCAATTTTTATATACTCTCTTGAGTTTAGTACCTCGAAATGTGTAATTTGGTTGATCCATAATATTTTCTTAGAGTATTTACATGCATAGCCCTCAAAACTACTAATATTACATATCTTACCCGCCCCCGCC